AGAAAACACTAACGGTGACAGAAAAAGAGAATTCAGAGAAAGAAAATCATAACTGAACTACTATGATTATTATACTGTATGAATTCAGTATATTATACTATAAATTATACTAGGGTATAGAATCATTATACTTTAAATCATACAATACATTACAAAGGTATTCAAACATTATGTACTATATTATACTATATACTATACTAGGATACCCAGTCATTATACAGTATATTGTACTATACATTATACAAGCGTATCCAATCATCATACAGAGTATACTACACATTACACTAGGTTGTCCTGTCATTATGCAGTATATCATAATAGGGTGTTTAATCATTACATTATAGCAAATTCCAGTTTTTTATGTTTGCAAGTTAAAATGATGTTTTATGGTTTATATGTGATAAGTTTGTGTTCTCTGTGCCCAGGTGCAACCACTGCTCCCAGTCTGATCTTCATCCTTCCTGGACTATTTTACATTCGCATCATCCCCACTGACCAGGAGCCAATGAAGTCCAGACCAAAGATTCAGGTGAGCTCCTGACTGACTACTCTGACATCAGTCACATCCAGGAGAACTGTAGGAACTAAAACACATCTTTGTTTTTTAGGCGGCATGTTTCACAGCATTAGGTTTCATCTTCATGACCATGAGTCTGACCTTCATCGGAATCGACTGGACAAGTGGAGAAAAGCGAAATCTTGGTGGACATTAGTTCAAACCCTGCGGCACTTAAGTAAACTCAAGAAGCTGCTGCCCTTCCTCACCCGTACTCAACAGAGCAGGACTAAAACCAACGGCAAGAGGTTCTGGGATCTTTTTTTATTAATCAATGATCAGTTGACTTCAGTGGTGTTGAGATGTAACCAACCCAGGTTAATAAACCGTTCACACCATCAAGGGTTAACCATAACAGGCTGAATCCTACAAGGGTCAATTTTTACAACCGTCGCTGCAAAGCTTCGTACTGGACCTAGCTTTGCCCATTATTATCTTCAAGGAAAAGCCTAAGTGTGTCCGCACCCTGTGGAAGTAATGGCATTACTCCAGCTGAGCATTCAGCGTTTTAGCACTAGAACTACTTATAATATTTGCTCAAGGAGCTAAAAAGCAACAAAACAAAATCCAATAATTGGATATTTGCTAAGGAGGAGCAAACAGGCACAGAGGCATTAAATGTCAGCAGAC